GGAATGACTACTTGCATAGGCAGAGCAGTGGCATGGGCTGCTCAACTGAGTATGCTTTTTTTTTTTTAAATTTATTATTATTATTATATGTTAAGTGATTGTTTGGTACATGTTGATAATGTTGAGTATATGTATACTGGCTTAGGTTGCTGTGTCCTTGTACCATCTGTCATTAATCGTATACACTCAATGGCATCCCTCCCCGTATCCCCCCTCCCTGTGAGTAGCCCAGGTGGTGGTGATTGGTTGCCCCTTTCCGGGGCAAGTGATCTCATTGTTCAGTTCCGCACTATGAGGTGAGACATTGCGGTTGTTTGTTTCTGTTCTTGTTATTAGTTTTGTATAGAATTGATGGTTTCCACTGCATGCATGTCCTACAAGAAATATCTATATGGGCAAGTTTTGATGGGTGTATATGTGCCACATGAACTGTCATGGATTTGTTTTTCGAGTACATTCTTTTATTTCTTTACTTTCTTAATAAACTTGCTTTCACTTTACGGACTGGCCCTGAATTCCTTCTTGTGAGAGGTCCAAGAACCCTCTTTTGGGGTCTGGCCAGCTAAACAGAAGGACAGGAGTTTATTACTACTCAAATCAGCCTCCATGAAAATTCAGAGGCTAGGTTTTTTTAAGGATAGCTTGGTAGTCCGGGGCTAGGGAATGGGGAATGTTGATTTGGTTGGATCAGGGATGAAACCATAGGGAGTCAAAGCTTGTCTTCTGGTCTTCCTGGGAGGAGACCACATGACAAGATGAACCAGTTTGCCAGTCCGAGTAGTGCCAGCTGGCCCATCAGAATGCAGGGTCTGAAAAATATCTTGAGCACCAATCTTAGGTTGTACAATGGTGATGTTATCCACAGGAGCAATTGGAGACGTCTGACTGCATGACTCCTGAGCCCTAATTTCTTACCTTGTGGCTAATTTGTTAGTTCTACAAGAGCAGTCTGACCCCCAAGCAAGGAGGGGGTTTGTTTCGGGAAAGGGCTGTTACCATCTTTGTTTCAAAGTTAAACTGTAAACTAAATTTCTCCCATAGTTAGCTTGGCCTATGCTCAGGAATGAATAACAGAAACTTGGAGATTAGAAGAAAGATGGAGTGATTACATTTTTTTCACAGTCATGATATTTTTAAAGGTGATTTCAGAGGTAACTTCACAGGATATAGGAGACTGAAGGGAGGAAAGCATGTCAAACAAAGGCTGTCCTGTTCTGCAGATGAAACCTCACAGAGAGCAGCTCTCAGAGTCAGTAGCCTATGATGAAAGTTTCTCTGTCAGACATTCAGCGGTGCCTGACTCTCAGTCTCTCTCTCCTGCGAGTTAATATTTCCTAGAGTGGGCAAGGGAGGCCTCCGAGAAACCTAGTTTCCATCTTCTGTTTACTTCCCTTTATTTTCCCCACAGATAAAAATCTCCTTCACAAAGGCAGCTTTTCAGGGCTATTTCTGTCTGCAGGCCCTCTGAATGGCCATCTCAAAATCTTTCTAGGAAGTATATATTTTGCAGTAAAATATTTTTTGTTTTCTTTAGTATGAAACAATGTATATTATTAGATTATAGAAGCATTAAAACCATCCATGATCCCACTTTTAAACAAACTAATCTGAAAGTCTAACATTGGGGCGGATTCTAAGCAATGTATTATAAAGAATAATGTGTTAATGAGTAAACTAAGTTAATTGGTCTCCTTAAACCAGAGGGTCAGTTTACTCCACGCCACATGGCCAAAGGCAAAAGTCCAACATTACATCAAACTCAGATAGAGATTAGGAAGGAGGAGAAAAGCAGCTCACTTAGCCAAAGAAAAAGCAATAAATTCAATTTTGTAGAAAAGGGGGGCATAAATGGAATTACCATTTAAAATATTATTTTTCTGAAAGAAAACATAAGAAATTAATGGTCTTATTTGCAACTGTAACACTTATTGCAGTATGTTCTCTTCTTTCCTCAGGTTTGGCCAGAGCCAGACTTTGCAGACAGATTACATCACATATATGGATGAGCTGGGCTCTTTCATAGGGGCCAAGCCTAACATACCATGGCTCTTCCTGACAGATCCCCGCCTGGCCCTGGAGGTGTACTTTGGCTCTTCCTGACAGATCCCCGCCTGGCCCTGGAGGTGTACTTTGGCCCTTGCAGCCCATATCAGTTTCGACTGATGGGACCAGGGAAGTGGGATGGGGCCAGAAATGCCATCCTGACCCAATGGAACCGGACAGTGAAGCCAACCAGGACAAGAGTTGTCAGCGAAGCTCAGCGACCTCACCCCTTTTACAATTTGCTTAAAATGCTTTCATTCCCATTACTCCTTCTGGCTGCTACACTTACATTTTATTAATGAGAATGTCTTTGAGGTCTCAAAGTTCAGAGTAGAAGTGTAATCACACAATACAACACACACACACACACACACACACACACACAAAATCACAATATAGTTCCTCTCTCCTTTCCTGAAGATATGAAAATCAGTCTTGGCCCATTTGAATTAAAGTATAAGTAAAATGGAAAATACTCAGCCTCTCTCTCTGTTGGGAATCTGTTCTCTAAAAGGCTTTTCACATGCTGAATTGGCAACTTTGGGGATGCTTAAGACACGACAGGAAGTTGAAAATGCATGAGCATGGATTTTCAGGCTGAACAAAGTTTAATAAAATGTAAAGGCATTTTATTTTGTCCATTATAGTATATCAACCAAATGTATTTTTCACATTAACTGAAGTTCTTGACATTAAATCAACATAGAAAGTTAAGTTCATACCAAGACAACAACAAAGATAAAATGAACACATTGCTTAAAAGATATACACTGCCAAAGCTCTCCCAAGAAGAAACATATAACCTGAGTAGACCTAAATCTATTAAAGTACTTGAATTTGTAGTTTAAAAACTCTTCCACAAAGAACAACAGGCCAAGATGGCTTCAATGGTTAATTCTGTCAAACATTTAAGAAAGTAGTAGACCAATTATACACAAAATTTTCCAGAAGATTAAAGAGGACAGAATAAACCTCAGCTCATTGTACGAGGTCATCAAAGCCCTGACACCTAAACAAGACAAACACAATCTAAAAATGTCAAATATAGATCAATATCCTTCATGAAGATATATGCAAAAATTCTTAACAAATGTTAATATAATCCAACAGTATATAAAATAAATCACATAACCAAGTAAGAATTATTCTGGGAAAGCAATGTTGGTTTAATAGTCAATGTAATTCACCACATTTGTAAACTAAAAATGAAAAACCATATGATCATCTCAATAGATGCATAAAAAGCATCTGACAAAAGCCAACATCCATTCCTGAAGAAAACTCTCAACAAAGTGATAGAAGGAAACTTCCTCAACATGAAAAAGAGCATCTATGAAAAACCTACAGCTAACATCATCCTCAATGGTGAAAAACTAACTGCAGTATTTCTAAGATCAGGAACAATATAAAGGTCTTGGTTCTCACCACTTCTAGTCAGCATCCTACTGGGGTTTCTAGCCAGTGCAATATAAAAAAAAAAAAAAGAGAAATTAAAGGTATCAACAGTGGAATGGAAGTAGAACTTTCTTTATTCTTAGACAACATGATTGTCTATGCAGAAATTTTGAACTGTACACAAAAATTACTAGAATAATTGTATTTCCGTATACTAACAGTAAATGGAAAAATAGAAAATTGTAAACTATTATTTATAACACCCAAAAATATGAAATATTTAGGATAATCCAGCATAAGAAAGGTGAAAACTATACACTGAAAGCTAGAAAACATAGCAGAGAGAAATTAAAGGTCAAAATAAATGGAGAGATACACTTATCTTGGGTTGGACCACCAATATTGTGGTGATGTCAATTATCCCCAAATTGATCCATAGTTTCAATGCGATACTCCTAACATACTTTTTTTTATAGAAGTTTATTCTAAAATTAATGAGGTATTTAAAGGACCTAGAATTGTTAAAAATAACTTTGAAAAGCCCGGCACAATGGCTCACGCTGGTAATCCCGGTACTTCGGGAGGCTGAGGCAGGCGGATCACCTGAGGTCAGGAGTTCGAGACCAGCCTGGCCAACATGGAGAAACCCCATCTCTACTAAAAATACAAAATCAACCAGATGTGGTGGTGCATTCCTGTAATCCCAGCTACTTGGAAGGCTGAGACAGGAGAATCGCTTGAAGTGGAGGTTGTGGTGAGCAGAGATAGTGCCATTGCACTCGAGCCTGGGAAACAACAGTGAAACTCTGTCTCAAAAAAAAACCAAAAAAATCTGGAGCACTAATACTACCTGACTTCTGATTTCAAAATTTCTTATTTTATGAAGCTACAATAATCAAGTCAGTATGTTATGTTGTGAAGATAAACAATAGGTCAATAAAAAAGAATGGAATGTCTGGAAATAGAATCACAAGATATAGACAAAGGTGAAAATTCAGTAAAGACAGGAGAGTCTTTTCAACAAATGGTGCTGGAATCATTGGATATCATGCGATATGAAAAAAAAAACCCTTCAGTCAATACTTCGCACTATATATAAAAAGTAACTGAAAGAGTATTACAGAACTAAAGCCCTAAAACATCCAGCAGAAAATGAAAATCTTTGAGTTAGGCAAAAATGTCTTACATACACTACTAAATGCACAATATTCATTTTAAAAACTGTAAATTGGATTTCGTCAAAATTAAGAACAATTCTAATATTCCCTTAGGAAAGAATATAGTAAGTACATTGATGCTTATGACATCCATATTATTTGTACCTAATAAAAGCAGGATGAATATTCTAACTCAATTTGTCTAATTGGAGAGATGGATAGGACATAGTAGAGAAAGTTCAGACTTGAAAAGAAAAATGTATACCAAACTATCTCAGTTAGTTTTTAGAATATATATAATTTATCCTAATCAAAATTGGCTCAAACCAGATGTGTCTCCAAAGTATTCTCATGTACATGTGTGTATGTGAACACACATGCTAGTGTTGTGTTGTGTTTAGTATGATGCTAGATTGTATAACAGAAAGAGTCTGTAAGAATTATAAGCTGATTTTCCAAATATCCTATGCATATATCTCTGAGTCCTCTGTTCAATCTGGGGGCTACCAATGAAGACTAATCTAGAATCTTGGAGAGAGACACTTGGGAAGAACAAGAAAAATAATATTTTGAGTGGGGGTCTCTGTTTCTGGAACATGTTTCAGGGTGTGAGAGTCTCGTTCCCTCCTCAGACCTGGTACTAGAGGGATGCTCTCTTCAATCAAGACTGTGGTGAAAGTGTGGCTAAGTGGACTGCTGAGCCCATCAGACTTAGTTTATTTGGGCCAACTAGAAACTTTTTTGTAATTCAGACTTCTTGATATTTTATTCAATCATACGGATAATATTACTTTGCACTAAATTGAATTTGATGGAATGCTGCTTATAACCTCTGTGTATTTGGTCCTGTGTAGCAAGTAGACAGAAGTATGGTTCTTCTCATCGTCTTTACCAACTATGCAAAATAAAATGAGAACAAAGAGCCATTAAGGAGTGACAAAAGGCGAGGGAGAATGCCAACTCAAAGCTAACTCATGCACCTCATTCTTCTGATTGGGCAGCCTGCTCATCCATGAAATCTATGTTTGTGTGTATATACAATCTGTGACTGAATCTAGTGTAAGGACTATGCCAGACAAACCCATTAATAAACTCACTAAATAAAACTCTTTTACCAGGTGATTCCCAAAGACAATCACAGCTTTTCAATCAGATTGATAGCAAATCTCACAGTTAAAAAACTACTGTTTTACATCATGAGATACAGAAGAAACCATATTTGTAATGTTTCACTTTGCCTCTAAAATCCTAGCACAAATTAACATATTTTTAAAATAGGGTTAATAAAAGTGGTTTATACCTGGCATCTCAGCGTTTTAGGAGGCCCAGGCACAAAGATTGCTTAAGCACACGAATTTGAGACCAAATTAAGCAACATAGCAAAACCCTGTCCTACAAAAAAAATAATAATAACATTAAAAAATTAGCCAGGTTATATGATTCAGATGTGTGTCCCCTCCAAATCTCATGTTGAAATGTGATCCCCAGTGTTGGAAGTGGGGCCTTGTGGGAAGTGATTCTCTCATAAACGGCTTGGTGCCCTCCCCAGGGTAATGAGTGAGTTCTCATTCTATTAGTTCACATGAGAGCTATTATAGTTGTTTAAAAGAGACTGGTACCTCCTCTCCTCTCTCTTGCTCCAATTCTAGTGCTCCCTTTCACACCGTGTGACATGCCTGCTCCCCCTTCACTTCTGCCATGATTGTAAGCATCTTGAGGCCTCACCAGAAGCAGATGTGGGTGCTATGCTTCTTGTACTGTCTGCAGAATGATGAACCAAAATAAACCCCTTTTCTTTATAAATTACCCAGTCTCCAGTATTTCTTTATAGCAACACAAAATGTGTAACTGGCAAAAGGGTCCTGCGCTTGCCGCTTGTAGAAAGATGCCAACATAGTAAGAGCGAAGTGTGACAGAGAAAGAGTGAGTTTTATTATCCGTGTTAGCAAGAAGAGTGGGCAGAATTATTTCCCCAAAATTTCCACTCTTCAATTTGTGGAAGGAACGCAGGGCTTTTTTTGTTTTGTTTTGTTTTTGTTTTGTTTGTTTGTTTTTAAGTGACAGGGGTTTGGAATGCAGGAGGGGAAGAGGGCTTAGAGGTGTCGAGTGGCATGATGTGCTCCAGTGGCTTATCTTGAATTATTGTTCCATTTAGTGAAGGAGCCAGTGCCATCCTGGACCCAACCAGGTTACAAATTAATTGCAGTCCATCTTGCAATTAATTTCTAGCCAAGGGTGAGTTTTGGCCTTGACTGAGAAGAGAATTCCAGAATTATTTTGTCCCTGTCAGGATCTGGCTCCCAAAGCTTCTAAGGAAATATACAACCAGGTAAGTGAGACTGGTGAGCACTTAACAAGCATCTGAGTTAATAAATGTGCATAAGGCATGGGAGCATAGAATGGGAAAAGAAAGGGAGTGGAGGTTCACAGCATATTCTAAGGCTGGATTTCTCCAAGTTATATCCTGAAACTGGGGAGAAAGGAGGAAAGAAAACAAAGTTTTAAAACGCACTTTGAACCCAAGCTGCTTGGTTACAAATGGACTGATACATTAGGTGTGGTGGCATGCACCTGTAGTCCTAGATACTTGGGAGGCTAAGGTGGGAGGATTACTTAAACCCCGGAGTTCAAGGTTATAGTGAGCTACGGTCACACCAGTGTACACTAGAGCCTGGGTAACAGCAAGACTCTGTCTCTAAAAACTAAAAAAAAATAAAAAAATAAAAATAATAGATACAGCATTGTAGTAATAGGAATTCACTAATGTTGATTCTCTTCTCTCTCTTATATTTGTATAGTGTCACATCTGAATCTTTTACAAACATTTAT